TAGATACAGTAGATGATAGATACAGTAGATGATAGATACAGTAGATGGATACAGTAGATGATGGATACAGTAGAGGATAGATTCAGTAGATAGATACAGTAGATGATGGATACAGTAGAGGATAGATTCAGTAGATGATAGATTCAGTAGATGATAGATTCAGTAGATAGATACAGTAGATGATAGATACAGTAGAGGATAGATTCAGTAGATGATAGATTCAGTAGATAGATACAGTAGATGATGGATACAGTAGATGATGGATACAGTAGATGATAGATACAGTAGAGGATAGATTCAGTAGATGATAGATACAGTAGATGATAGATACAGTAGATGATAGATACAGTAGAGGATAGATACAGTAGATGATATAGTAGATGGATAGATCCCTCTCTCCCTCCCAGGTGGGAACACAACAAGACTAAGAATGTTCTTTCACACCTGGGATTTGAAGCTCCTCCTTAAACCAGACCAACTAGTAGTAGCCACTTTCATGAACATCTGTATTTTTTTTCTTACTGGTTTAATCATTACTGCTGCGCTCGCCCTGCCAAGCACCTCTTTAATAACTGCTATTCTAACCAAACTGGACTCAGACGGCTCCTCTGATGTGTTTTTGTGAGGAAGCCAACTTGCACAGCAAGCACTGAATATCTAGTGATTATTCTTTTTCAAAGCTCGAGTACATGATTTTCTTCAATCTCGTGTAGAAAGACTAATTTGTTGCACATGTGTGTATACTCACAATTGCTCAGAAGATTATTTGTTCTTGTGTATTAATGGGGTTTATTTATATGGTGCTGTTTCATCTCAGGGCATCGTACAAAACCTTCACGTACATTAGAAAATGTAAATTACCGTAATTTTCAGACTATAAGCCACTATTTTTTTCACACGCTTTGAACACTGCGACCACACACCTCTGTGGTCCACACTGCTTTTTTTTTGTATTTGTAATGTAATTTTTTTTATTCATTATTAATTAAAAAAAAAAATTATCAGCCATCTTATAGGCACTGTTCTGACATCCAACTCCACCCAGAAAGATCCCAGACTGGGATTTGAACCATCAACCTTCTCGTTCCGCTCAATATAATTTAACAAAACTTCACATATGCGTCATCACTAGACAGAGTGTCGCATAAGTTTTCATCACTCCAATTCCAAGATCAAGGTTACAAATCCAGGTCAAAGTTTATACGAGGTCATTGCTTGTATAATAGTTTGTCGACGAGCGTATAGTGTGCTGTACGTGGTACTCTTCAGGGGTTTGATGCAACAGCCACATTACTGGTAATGGTTTACCAGTCTGCTTCTTATAAATCTCTGCTGCGTCTGGACAGAACAGAAGTATTCAACTCCAACATCATATTTCTCTGCCTGACTATCTTGTCTAATGTCCCAACAGAATCAATGACAAGCCTCCTTTCTGTTGTACAATGGGGAGCAAAAAAAGCTGGGCAGTGTGATGACTAGAAATAGATGTTTGTAAAATGGTTTAATGGTGCTTGAGCATCGGGGCATGGTTTGGGGAGCTGTTTTTGCCACATCAGTACAATGCAGCGTATACAGATGTCACATTGAGGTTGCATGTTGCGTTGGGAGACTGCTGCATCCCTCAGGTGCTTCTGAGAGCTCTCCAGGGGCCACATTGCCCTCATTTCTATGTCCGCTCATGAAGTATCGAGTGTTTGTGTGTGTCTTTCTTTTTTTAACTTTCTCTAGGGAGGTTGTGCAGTCGGCTCAGTCCAAGATGAGTCTAAAACATAAAATAGAAAGGTCAAAATGTGTTTCTGTCACTGCTGAACGATCAAGAAAACACCAAAGGATGGACTAAATATATTTTAGTTCTAAGACTTATCCATTCTTTTTGAAAGTTGATGCTGCCTGGGAAAAGACACATTAAATATTTCTTAAACAAAGAGCCTCAGTGTTAATCTGTTATGTTGCCAGTGTTTGCTCTTTCAAGCAGCAACAAATTTGCACCAAAGGGCAGCAGGAATGTCCTTGCCGCTGGCCAGTTTGTTAAGAGGAGCAGGAGGTCAAGTAAATCCATATAATTACAGGAAAAAAAGACATCATTGCGCATCATGCCAATTCCACTGGGCTGGAAGTTATAATAGCTTTCCATCATCGCAGGAGCTTTGCTACAGAGCAGACAGCCCGACAAAGGCGTCACCATGACAACGGTGTTGAGGGCACACTAAGAACTGATAACCTGTAACGGGGAAAAGGACGGTTCCAATTTGTTTTGGTTTATAGACCTTTCATTGCCTGTCACATTGAGGAGATACCTTTTCCTTCTTACAGATTGACATTTTACTCCCGCCATCCAAATCTAAATTTTGAGCTATAGGAACCTAACCTAAGGAGCCATCTTTATTTCCCACAATCAAAAAGCAAAAGGTGGGCAATAATGTTTCTGCTAGCATCGGAGTGTGTTTGTCTGTTACCCAAATATTTTATGAACCACTGGTTGGGCTTTTATTAAACTGTCAGGACATAATAAGTGGATGTACCACTGCTACTATTTTACTTTTGGAGCCAACCCAATTCAAGATGGCTGCCACAGCCAGTAGACTTAAAAGAACACAAAAATAGCTGTAATTCTGACAATTTTGCTGATAATGCGCTAAAATTTGACGTCTTAGTAGCTAAGAGTTATTTTAACCATGTGATCTCACAATGTGATAAGACCACTGTTGGTTAAAAATATTCTCTGTTCATCTTATTCTCTGTGTGTATTTTGCATGTTCTTCTCGTGCTTGCATGGGTTTTTCCAGGTACTCCGTTTTCCTCCCACAGACCAAAAACATGCATGTTAGGCTGCCTTCAAGCCCAAACCTCCCTTGCAAAAGAGATCTATGATCTCAATGGGATTTGCCTGGTTAAATAAATGTTAATGAATAAATAAATGTACATAAGTTCTACGTGCATGGAGTCACGAGAATCTGCCACGGGCAGCGTGTGAGAATTGTTTTATAACCTTATCAGTTCTCAGCTCAGAGACAGACACTGGTGACCTCGGCCACCCAGCTGGATCAAACCAGTTCCTCATTCAGCTCTCTGTAATAGAGAAAAGAACTCTGGTTACTCAAACACATGGTTCATGGGCAGTTATTCTCAGCCATAGTAGTTAAAAAAAATTCATAAACATTGACTAAAAAAAACTCCTGACAACCGCACATACGATTATTTTCAAGGTTTGACCTAATTGATTACAGCTGTTAACTTCTCAATAATTTCTCAACGTCAGATTACTTTAGTCGGAAGCTTTGACATGAAAGGCCGAGGCCACTCCTTTTAGCCTTTTAAAAGTTTGTTTAATGGTGCATTCACACCAGCCCTGTTTAGTCCGCTTTAATCAAACTCCATTTGCCTAGAAATTCCGGTTCGTTTGGGGAGGTGTGAATGCGCAATCAAACTCTGATGTGGACCATAAAAGCGAACTCTGGTCTACCTAAAAACCTAGGTCTCGGTTCGGTTGAAGTGAACTCGAGCACGGTTCCAATGCATTCTGAATGCAAGTGTACCAGAGACCGCTCCAAAAGCAGGAAGTGGACTACAGCGCAAGGCATTATGGGCAAATACAACCAAAACAAACGCGCATTTCTCATACCTCATACGGAGCCATCTCATCCGCCTTGTGTGAAAAACATCTCCGTGGTCTTCTGCCTCATCCTCCAC